TTAATATTTTATTGGGGAATTGGAGAAGGGGAACAGACAAGTTGCTGTCCTTTTGTTCTTCAGTCTAGTTGGTCGCTTCACAAGCCCATGTTGGTATTATCATTGCGCTCTTCCCTGCTGAGGCAGTTGCTCGCCAGCCATTGGACGGCCACTCATGGTGGCTCACGACAGCACACGAAAGCTCACGCCAGCTGCTGACCAGCTCCACTGCAGCCTACATCATATCATCACAGGCGATTCACAGCAGCCAAGCTCCAGTTCGAGCTGGAGTTCACATCTCAGCTGTAGAGGGCGCAGTGACACCGACCTTCATGTGGGATCGTACCAGGGCCCTGATGCTCAGGGCTGGCATCGCAAGCCAACTCCTAACCAACATGCCACTCGTCTGGCCCGCCTTAAATTTTTTAAAGTTTAGTAATTTAGGATGTACTTTTATAAAAAGTGTGCTGGCAAATATTAAAATACAATACTTGGAATTTCAATATTATTATATAAACTCAAAACACCCAATGTTAAATGCTGATCTTCCATGTCTGACTCTATTTAAGTATTGTATATTTTCTAGAAAGACATTTTTAGACTTTAGTGACTACTTAAATTATTTACGATTATTCCTCACCAAAATCTTCATGAAATCTAAAAGGCTTGTATTAAAAGTAGTTATTCTTTCTCCTTGAATATTCTAAAGTATGCCAATTTAGATTACCCTTCAAATTTTGGGGGCATTAAAGATATACAAGTAGAGTGCCCAAGAATACCTTTTAATATTTATAGTTATTACAGGAATAACTATATCATAGTTATTACCAAAATTCCTTTGACTGTCAGATAATGTAGAAATCCTAAGCAATCATAAGCGATATGACAGGTCAAGTTATTTTATAGTTCAAGTATTATATCACATCAGTCAATTTTTAAACTAAATTCTTAAAAGAATTCACAAGACATTTGTGTCTTCTAATTGCCAAACAATGTATTCATGGGGTGGAAAATGTAAGACAAATGATAGAAATAAAAATATTTTAATTCTTAAATAAGAATTTTTCAAGTTAAGAAGTGATCATTGTTGCTTATAAAATATGCCTTACTTTTCATCTCAAGTTCACTTTAGACAGTTGACATACAAGTTAGTACCTAAAAATACTCTAACTAAATCATTTGTTAATATTTATACAGTGTTACTTCTCTGGATCGACATTTTCAATCAATGCTGACAAACACCACTGCATAGTCAAAATCACAATTGATGATTAATTTATTAATGGATTACCAATTTATTCAAGAATTCATGGGGCATAAGGATCAATGAAGAGACTAGTCTGATAATTTCTTACTGCACAATTAATATTGCACTCATTTGCTTTACATGTTTCCATGGATGTGATTTGATCAACAAAAGATTTTCAACTTTCTTCTTTTCTTTCTTTCTTTCTTTCTTTCTTTCTTTCTTTCTTTCTTTCTTTCTTTCCTTCTATCTTTCTTTCTTTCTCCCTTTCATTTTTTTAGAGCAACTCAATGATTTGGGGGATCATTACTATATGAGAACAAAGGGAAAAGAACAAAATGACAACTGACACTGAAAATGAATGCCAGTGCTCATCTCATTATGGTTAAAAATAAGGATATTAATTTTTGTATTATTCACTTTTATTTAGAGTATAAATCTATAAATCAAAGCCATGAACTTGAACCTTATATACACAATATGTATACAATCTTAAACAATACTTTTTACAAATCATACTACATTTAAAATTTTGGGGACCAAATACCTGTGTTGACTTGTATTTTCACTTAATGAAAGAAGAAGGAAACAATCAATATTCAACTAGAGAAGCCATCACTGATCATACTAAGCTCTTAAAGTTAAAAGCGTCTTCCTTTTCCTTTGTACTACTGCAAGTTTCCACAATGTCCTGAGAGTATTCATAATGAGAAAAAATGTCAATCACAGCTTTAAGACCTTACTTTGGAAGAAACTAATGAGAAAGCAGATTGAAAGGTGAGGCTTCCTCTTTGTTTACAAATAAGTGGTCTTAATTTTTCTTCTTATAGAAGATGTTTAAATCAGTTTGTTATAAATATATTTAAAACCATTAAGTTTTGCAGCTTTCTGTTAAAGTGTAGAACTTCATTTATACAAAGTCTGTAAGAAGAAATCAATAGACTTCATCTAATCTTAAATGTGCCATTTAAGTCAATGGTGCAATTTCTCACCTGCGGTACTGTTTTAATGCAAGAAAATAAAACTGTAAAAGGAAGGAGAGAGAAAACTAACCTAAGTAATCATTGATATGGAAACAGGTACATAAATTATGCTGTAATAATAGAACTACCATCTGATCCAGCAATTCCACTTCTGGCTAGTTATCTTAAGAAAACAAAAACACTAACCTAAAAGGACATATGCACCCACATTTTTTTGAAGCACTATTTACAGTAGCCAAGATATGGAAACAACCTAAATGTCCACTGAGGGACGAATGAATATAAATGACAAATGATAGAAATACGATTGTGTGTGCTTGTGTGTGTGTGTGTGTGTGTGTGTGTGTGTGTGTGTGTGTGTGGTCTGACAATTACATTCACGAACTTGATGCAACAATATTGCTAATCTTTTCTGATATCAGAGATATTATTCATTATTAATTTGTACTAACTGGGCAAACAGTTAACCAAGTTTACTATTGGGAAGTGCGAAAAGGCTGCATGAAAAAGTTAGATGCCCTGAATTTTTGGCCAACAATTTATGGCCCTTGCATAAGGACAACGCACCAGCTCACAAGCACTGTTGTGAGGGATTTTCTTTGTTTTTGTTTTTATTAGTTTCAGGTGTACCAAACAATGTAATAGTTAGACATTTACACCCCTCACAAAGTTAAACCCCCCTCCCCCAATCTACTATCCCTCTGACATTGTATATAGCTGTTACAATTCCACTGATTCTATTCCCTATGCTGAACTCCACATCCTGTGAATATATATATATATATATATATATATATATATATTAAATTATAGTTGACATTCATCATGATTCAGCTTCAGCTTCAGGTGTACAGTGCAGTGATCAAGCCTCTACACCATCCAGGAAGTGGTCCCCCTAATAAGACAAGTGTCCATCAGATACCCTACAAAATCTTTACAACATTATTGATTATAATCCCCAAAATGTCTTTTATATCCCCATGGCAATCTTGTAGTTACCAATTTTGTGCTTTCTAATCCCCTCATCTTCTCCCTGTGAGGGAGTTTTTATCAGTAAACAAATAACTGTATTGGAACACTCAATCTACTTATCTGATCTGGCTCCCAAAGACTTCTTTCTTTACCCGAAGATAAAGGCAATATTGAAAGGAAGACATTTTGATGACATTTAGGACATCGAGGGCAACATGATGACAGCTCTGATGGCCATTCCAGAAAAAGAGTTCCAAAATTACTTTGAAGGGTGGACTAAGTGCTGGCGTTGGTGCATAGCTCCCCAAGGGGAGCACTTCGAAGGTGACTATAATGAGGTATTTAGCACTTTTTCTAGAATGAGTTCGCGAACTTCATTGTCAGACGTCGTGTGTGTGTGTGTGTGTGTGTGTGTGTGTGTGTGTGTGTGTGTGTGTAAAGGAATATAATTCAGCCTTTTAAAAATGGAAAAAAGAAGAAATCTTGTCTTTGCTGACAACATTGGCGTACTTCAATGGCATTAGGCTAAGTGAACTAAGTCAGACAGGGAAAAACAAATAACATACAAACCCACTTATATATGGAAAGCTTAAAAATTGAAAAAAAAGCACATGAATACAGTGAACAGGCTGGTGGTTGCCATTGGAGGGCATGGAAGACTGGCAAATGAACAAAGAGAGTCAAAAGATCCAAATTTCCAGTTATAAGTCCTGGGGACGTGATACACAGCACAGTGACTATGGTTAATAATGCTGCATATTTGAAAGTTGCTAAGAGAGTAGAAGCTCTCATGACATTAAAAATTTTTATAACTATACATGATGACAGACATTAACTAGACTTATTGTGGCGATCATTTTGCAGTATACACAAATATCAAATCATGATGTTATACACCTGAAACTAATAAGTTATATGTCAGTTATACCTCAATTTAAAAAAACTGTGGTGTAATGATAGAATTGTACTTAGCTGTTAAAGAGAATGAGCTAAAGCCACATGCACCAACCTGGAGAGACCTCAAACACATAATACTGAGGTTTTTTTTTTAAAGAGTTGTATCATAATTCCTCAAAAATAACATTTATATAAATATTAGTAACATTGTATGGATGCATAACAACTGGAGTAAAATGGAACCATGTAGGCTGGAAGGATAAAAGCTAAGCTCTGACCTGTGTCTCCCTCTGGACTTTGGAAAGACGCCTCCCTTCAGCGTTAATTAGCGCCTACTAAGGACTAGGGTCAGAGCTCGGAGCTTTGCTGTAATGCTTCTTAATGTCCAAAACAGTTACAAATACAGGGCATCTTTTACATGTTTTGCAGACCGGTGGATTCATTCATTCACCACGTATTTGGTGTTTAACCTCTGTTTCCTCAACTGCAAGATGGGACTAAGAAGAGCATCTGCCTGATTTTGTCAGAATGAAGCAATTCATGTAAAGAAGTGAGTGAGCTGCCTGGAATATAATGAGCGCACAAGAAATGTCAGTGCTTCTGATAGTTTGTTCACCAGGCACGGTTCAGATCCTTGATCCCTGGGCGAGAAGGAGATTGAAAAACTCGGGGGTCAAATGTCTGTGGTGCTGAGATGCATTGAAACCATAAGCCCAAGAGCCCGAATGGTCTCAGAGAAAGACTTTTGAAGAACTTGCGGGCTCTCCTGGGAATCTAGCGCCTGACATCTGTGTGACAGAATGGGTGGCTGAGGGGAAGTTCCCAGGCAGCGTTGGCGGCGGGGCGGGGCAGGGCGAAGCTCAGGGACAGGAAACATCAGGGGGAGTTTCAGCAGGGAAAGGCGGTGACCAAGTGGGGGGGAGGGGCGGCGCGGAGGGACACTGGGAGGTCCGGCCTTGCTGCCAGGGCAGTCACAGGGGCCGGGATTGTCACCAGTTCACACCGCAGTGGAGCTAGTGGACGTCCGAGCCATCCTCGCGGCGATGGGCTGCCTAGTGGCTGCCATCTGGTCACTCCTCAACCCCCGCACCCTCCTGCTGGGAGCTGTCCTCTTTCTGTTCCTTGCCAATTTCTTCAAAAGGCGGCGTCCAAACAACTACCCACCTGGACCTCCGATTCTGCCTATCTTTGGAAACTTCTTCCATATGGGTTTCAAGGAGCCGCACCTCTTCCTTCAACAGGTAGGAGCCGGCAGTGGTGCTGAGCTGCGCCCTAACCCTGACTTGTGGCACAAGGGCCATCCTGGGGACTGAGGGCAGGAGGACTGATGGCTCTGCCGCTAAAGCCATTGCCCTGGTTAAACCCACTTTGAGCCTCGTTTTCCTCACTGTCAACTGGCATGATTCTGAAGCCTTCCTTTCCTAGGGGTGAAATATTGCTAACTGTTGACGATTTCAGTGTGCTAGTCTAGTTACATTTTTTAACTCATTTAACCTTATCATGCTAAATATTATCAGAGCATCCCATGGTAATATGATCTCCTTGTCTTCCTTAATATTATTATCCTTCCCGAAAGCTGCACTTTCCCGCTGGGAGGTTCCATTTCCCATGTGTAAAGTGACAATACTACTAAATCCTCACCACTTTGAACTGAATTGCTGCCACCACCACAATAACTGAGCCCCTCACATGCAGGCTTCTCTCCCTGCAGTCCACTCTCCCTAAACATTTAAAAGTGTCTTTCCCCAGCCTTTCTTTGCCCTCCTGGCTGCTAAGACTCCTTAGCACAGTTCAGACTCCGTAGGGAGCCGCTGGGAACCTTTATGACCCAGCCTCTGATTATTATATCATATCTCTCTTTATCCGTGGTGATGTTCTTTGCCTGAACTTTATTCTATCTGACATAACACAACCATATCAGCTCACTTTTGATTACTCTTTGCATGGTGTGTGTTTCTCCATTGCTTCATTTTTAACCTACTTATATCGTTATATTTGAAATGTGTTTTTTTAGAAGCGTGTAGATGGGTCATTTTTTTTATTCTGTCAATCATTCATTTTGTTTTGATTTAGGTTTTTAAAAAAATTTATATTAAAAATATAGCTAACATACAGTATTATATTAGTCTCAGGGGTATATCGTAGTTATTTAACATTTATATACCTAAAGAAGTGATCACCATAAGTACAGCAACCATGTGAACCTATGCTAGCATATCTATACTATGCTATCACAATATCATTGACTATATTCCCTATGCTGTATATTCTATCCCTATGACTTACTTATTTTATGCCTGAAAATATGGACCTTTTATTCCACCTTTTCCCCCTTTTTTAATTTTTCAATTACAGGTGACATTCAATATCATTTTATATTAATTTCAGGAGTACAGCATAGTGGTTAGACATTTATATAACTTAAGAAGTGTTCCCCTGATAAGTCTACTACCCACCTGGCACTCTACATAGTTATTACCATATTATTTACTATATTCCCTTTTTTTACTTTATATCCCCGTGACTATTTTGTAACTAACAATTTGCACTTCTTAATGCCTTCACCTTTTACACCCTGCCCTCCAACCCCTCAAACCTAGTACCCATCTGCACCATACATACTTATTACAGTATCACCGACTATGTTCCTTATGCTGTACCCTACATCCCCATAACTACTGTTGAACAACCAATTTGTACTTCTTAATCCAGTCCCCTTTTTTTACTCATGCTCCCCAAACCCCTTCCCATCTGGAAATCATCAAAATGTTTTCTGTATCTATGAGTTTGTTTCTGTTGCATTTGTTCATTTTGTTCTTTAGCTTCCATATATAAGCGAAATCACATTGCATCTGTCTTTGTCTGACATTCCACTCAGCACAATACCCTCCAGGTCCATCCATGCCGCCGCAGGTGACAAGAACCCATTCCCTTCCACGGCCAAGAAATATTCCATTGTATATATGGACCATCTCCTCTTTATCCATTCTTCCGTTGATGGATACCCAGGCTGGCTCCACATCTTGGACAATGTAAACAATGCTGTAATGAACATATGGATACATATGTCCCCTTAAAGTAGTATTTTGGGTTTCTATGGATAATTACACAGAAGTGGAATTACTGGGCCCTTCTTTGTGTCTTGTTATAGGCTTTGTTATAAATCTATTGGGTTGTTGAAAAAGTCATGATATATTTTTTTCTGTTTTTTGTTGCAAAAATGCATCATGACTTTTCTGACAACCCAATGTTTTGTCTGGTATAAGTATTGCTACTTCAGCTTTTTTGGGCTTTTTTGTTTGTTTCCATTTTCATGAAATATATTTTTTCTATTCTTTTACTTTCCATCTATGTATCTTTCCATCTGAAGTGAGTCTCTTGTAGGCAGCATATGTAAGAGCTTTTGTTTCTTATCCATTCAGCCATCCTGTGACTTTTGATTGAAGCATCAAATCCATTTACATTGCAAGTAAATGTTGGGCCAGCCCAGTGATGTGTTAGTTGGGAGTTGGCTTGGGACGCCAGCTCTGAGCAGCGGGGCCCAGGTTCGGATCCCACATGAGGGCCAGTGACACTGTGCCCGCTACAGATAAGATGATGAGCACCAGCTCGACCTGGCGCTCGGCTGCCGTGAGTCTCCTGCAACAGCGTAGGCTGCAGTGGGGCTGCCATAAGCTACTGTGAGTGGCTGGCAGCTGGTGTGAGCTTTTGTGAGCTGCCGGGAGCTGCCTTGGTTGGCCGTCCAATAGCTGGCTACTGATCTGCCTCACCTGGAAAGAGTGCAATGATAATACCAACATGGGTCAGTGGGGCGACGTCCTCCACAACTAGACTGAGGAACGGAGGGGGGACAGAAACTTGTCTGTTCCCCTTCCCTGATTCCCCAACGCTGTTCCCCTCCCCCAATTCCCCAATAAAATCTTTAAAAAAAAAAGTAAGTGTTGATACATATGTACCTGTTGCTATTTTATTATTCATAATTCTGATTTTTTTTTCTATTTTAAAGAAATCCCTCTAACATTCCTTGTAATATTGGTTTCATGGTGCGGAACTCATTTAGCTTTTTCTTGTCTGGGAAGCTGTTCATCTGTTCTTCGATTTAAATGATAGCCTTGCTCGGTAAGGTACCCATGGTTATAGGTCCTTGCCTTTCATCACACTGAATATTTTGTGCCAATCCCTTCTGGCCTACAAAGTTTCTGTTGAGAAATCAGCAGACAATAATTTGGGAGCTCTCGTGTAGGTAACTAACTGCTTTTCCTTTGCTGTTTTTAGGATTCTCTCTTTGTCTTTAACCTTTGCCATTTCAATTGTAAGGTGTCTTGGTGTGGGCATCTTGGATTGATATTGTTTGGGACTCTCTGTGCTTCTGGACTATATGTCTATTTCCTTTGCCAGGTTAGGAAAGTTTGCGGTCTTTATTTCTTCAAATAGGTTCTCAATCCCTTGCTTTTACTCTTCTTCTGGTATCGCTGTGATGTAAATGTTGTTATGTTTGTTGTTGTCCCAGAGATCTCTTGAACTATCCTCATTTTTGTTGTTGTTGTTTTAGATTCTTTTTTCTTTTGACTATTCTGACTGTGTGTTTTATGCTACCTTGTCTTCTAAATCACTGATTCAATACTCTGCTTCATCTAGTCTGCTGGTGATTCCTTCCAGTACGTTCTTCATTTCAGTTATTGTATTCCTCACTTCCGAGTAGTTGTTTTTTATGGTTTCTATGTTCTTTTTTATGCTTGCTGTCTCTTTGTTGAAATTCTCACTAAGCTCCTTGAGCATCCTTATAACCATTGTTTTGAATTGTTTATCTGGTAGGTTGCTTGCCTCCATTTTGTTTCGTCCTTTTTCTGGAGTTTTCCCCTGTTCTTTCATTTGAGATGCATGTCTTTGTTTCCTCATTTTGGCTGCCTCCTTGTGTTTGTTTCTATGTGTTAGGTAATCAGCTATGTCTACCATCTTGGCTGGGTGGCCTTATGGAATAGGTGACCTTGGGGCCCTTGCACAGTTTCCCTGGTCACCTGCTCCAGGTGTTGCAGGTGTATCCCTTGTGTGGGATGTGTGTACCCTTCTGTTATAGTTGAGCCTGGATGGCTATTGGTATATCAGTGTGTGTGATTGCCCCTCAGGCTTACTGGCTGTAGGATGTGGCCCTATCCATAGCATACAGGCTGCTGTGCAGGGGCCTTACTCCACTGAGTGGAATTCGCCCCAGCTGGCTGTGGTACCTGTTAAGACTGCCCTTATATGTGTGCCATGTGAGGGGCTAATTGGGCGGTGCTCTTTTGTGGTCTGAAGGTAAACTCCAGTTATGTTGGTTTTGGAACCTCTTTGACGGGCTCCAATGCAGGCCCAGGTTTCCTGCTTCCTGTGACCTAGAAGGAGGTACAAAGGTTTGTTCGCTGCCTGTATCTGCCAATTGCTTTTAATTGGTGAATTTAGATCCTTTATATTTAATGTAATTATGCATTGATATGTTAAGATTTAAGCCTGCCATTTTATCATTTATTATCTGTTTTTTTTCCTCTCTGTGTTTCTTCCTGTTTCTTCTTTCCTGTCTTCCTATGAGTCATTTGAACATTTTTTTTTTAAGAATTCAATTTCAATTTAGTGTTTTTGAATATATCTCTGTCTGTTGTTTTAAGTGGTTGCTCTAAAGATTGCAATATGCATACATAGCTTATGGAGTCTACTAGTTTCAACATTTTACCACTTCAAGTGGAATACAGATACCTTATGATCATTTAGGTCTCTTTACCCTCCCCACTTTATAATATATATGTCTTAATTATTATATTTTCAAGAAACTTTATGATTTAAAAAAGGTAACAACCACTTTTATGAAGTTTTAGTCCTCATTTCCGTAAATTTCTTTTTTTTTCATATTTACTTTATTGGCTACAAATGCTTTTTAACTATAAAAGCTGTAAATACACATTGAGACATTTTAAAATACCGTTTAGTGAATAAGAGAGAATCTCACCTCTTCTTGCACCCACACCTCCCCCAACAGACACACACACACACACACATACACACAGCTCAGTGCTGGTGAGCGTTCAGAGGAACAGACCCTCTCACCTACGGCCAGTAGGAGTAAGAATCAGTACACCCACATGTTCCTTTTCCTTTTCTTTTCTTTGTCTCTTTGTTCTGCTGGACTTTGATTTAATGACTTAAATTAAGCAGTATCTCTCTCCACTTTATATCTCTTGATGATCATGGTTCAATCTCTTTTTTCACTAACCCTCCAACTTTAATTGTTCTTTATCCTAACTAAACATTTATTTTGATCCACCTTATTATTTACTTAATCCTACATTTGGAATTTTTATCTTTCATATTAGATATCCTGTGTCCTATTACTTTTGTTTGCCTTTTAGAGCTCCTATGTTAATCTTTTTCTCTTTATTTTTCTATTTTCATTTTTTATTGTAAGCCTGTTGTAGCCCCCTGAACCATCTTACTTTTAATTACTTTCATTCCCCATCTGTTTTTTTAATGAATCTTTTAGTGTTGTTCATTGAAAAGTATGCCCAACCTTAGAAAGATTTTTCTGATTTCTGATGGTCATACATTTATTTCCATGTAAAGCAACTGGCACAGAGCCTGGTACAATACACTTAAGAATTGTAATAAAACTATAGTGAATGCCAGGGCTTCAGGAGATCATTTGACCTAACCATGTTTACACACTTGACAATATCATAAAGATTTTATCCAGTACTATTGGTCTAGAAATATACAGGGGCAGAGAGCAGGTAGAGATGGAACTGTGAAGAAGTTCAATTTATAAATGCTATGGAGTACAGCGTCCCTTCAAAGTACAGGCTGAGATTCTAGGTAGTGATCATAATCAGGTAGGAGTCATTTGGCTTAACCTGAGATTTTCAGCTGTTCTAAAAACATCCTTATTGAATATCCTAGCGTAATCCTTTTGTGAAGCCTGTACAGTTCATCCTGGCATTCAGCAAGATGAAATTAAAAACCTGCTTGATTTATATGGACCCATTCCCAACTGTTTCTTAGACGCAAACACATGTACTTTAGAGGCAGGCCAGCTCAAGATGGAATCTTGGCTCAACCCTTCTAGCCAGACATGCCATACTGTGCTAGAGATGAACAAAGATTGATGGAAGTCTCTGGGCCCAAAGAACAATGGAAAGATTGAGTCCAGGCTTGGTGTTTTGACCTGGGAGCAGGGTGGTAGAATGAGACTGAACCCACTGTATTTGCTCTGATGGGGTGGTGGGGTCCCGGGCACTAAGGGTGACATGGGGGAGCATAAGTGCATGGGAATCAGGGATAAGGGGCCACAGACATCTGGAGGAAAAGAAGCCCTTCAGTTTCATCCAGTGCCCACAGAGTGACACAGCCTAGCAGACAACAGGCAGGGGTCAATCTTCCGAGAGTTGTCTCTTGAATACACAGGTTGGGAAAGACTTTGATTGGTGGCTATTCAACCCATCTTACACATACCTGCATCTTGTGCATACTCATGACACACCCACACACTTTTCCATTTCCTCCCCGCACCCCCTCTCTAGTCTCAGTTTCACTCTCTGACTCATACTCAATTCTAAGGTCCTGGCACCAACTTGGGTTCTTGTTCTCAAATATTACATAATGGCTGACAAATTCCCTGCACCACTCAATAGCTTTGTCTCCTTGGCTTCCTTACTCCAGCTATGACTCATTTTCCTTTTCTGAAAGACGCAGAAAATAATTACTATTGGGTTGTCGGTAAAGTCATGATTCATGTTTGCTACAGATGGCACTAGTTCATTTTTGGAAGTACTAGAGTCATTTGCATCTATGTTATTGCTATGTCACTTGAGAGCTGACTGTTCTAGCTTCATTTTTTTAAAAATTTAAGTGATTTGGTTGAATTTTGGAGATTTTACAACAAGTTGAAGATGGAAGAGCAAACTGTGCATTTTTGCCATATTTTACTGTTTTACTTCCATAAAGGGAAGAATGCATGTCAAGCTTGTGAAAAGTTGCATAAAGTTTGTGGAGACAATGCTCTACAAGAACGTCAGTGCCAACGATGGTTCACAAAATTCTGTGCTGGTGATTTTAATCTCAATGACGCTCCTCGGTCAGGGAGGCCCACCGAGGTTGATGACAACAAAATTAAGGCATTGATCAAGTTAAACCCACATTGCATGACACAAGAGATTACAGAAACATTGAACATCCATCATTCAAGCATTCATGACCACCAAAGAAGCTGGAATATGTAAGCAAGCTCAATATTTTGGTTCTGCATGAACTCAAAGAAGTTCATTTGACAGCGCTTATAAACATCTGCAATATGCTCATTGAAAGTGAGGAAACCAATCATTTTTTGAAGCAATGATAACTGGTGATGAGAAGTGGATTGTTTACATCAATGTGGTATGCAAACAGTCTTGGTCTCCATGTCATGATTTGCCTCAAATGACATAAAAAGCAGACATTCATCAGAGGAAGGTTATGCTCTCAATGTGGTGGGATTTTAAAGGTATATTTTTCAATCTCCTACCAAGGAACCAAACAATCAATTAGAATGTGTACTGTGGGCCGGCAGAGTGGCGCGATGGTTAAGAACTGGCCTGGGACACCAGAGGGCCCTGGTTCGGATCCCACATATGAGGACCAGTGACACTGCCCTCTACAGCTAAGATGCTGAACAACAGCTCAACCTGGAGCTGGGCTGCCGTGAGTCGCCTGCGACAGTGTACGCTGCAGCCCCTGTGGCAGTGGGTTGCCATGGGCTACCGTGTGTAGCCAGCAGCCAGCGTGAGCGGCCGGCAGCCAGCGTTAGCGGCCGGCAGCCACAGTGAGCGGCCGTCCAGAAGCCAGCGACTGATCTGCCTCACCCCGGAAGTGCGCAATGATGGTGCCAACATGGGCCAGTGAAGTGACATCCTCCACAACTAGACTGAAGAACAAAATGACAGCAACTTGTCTGTTCCCCTTCCCCCAATTCCTCAGCACTGTTCCCATCCCCCCAATTCCCCTATAAAAATCTTTAAAAAAAAAAAAAGAAAAGAATGTGTACTGTCAGCAAATGGACAGTTTGAACAAACCCATCATCAAGAAATGTCCACAGCTTGTGAATTGTAAAGGAGTTGTGTTCCATCATGACAACGTGAGACCTCACACAAGTTTGATCACCTGTCAAAAATTATTGGAGCTTCGATGGGATGTGTTGCCACACCCACCATACTCACCTCACCTGGCACCATCAGACTTCCACTTGTTTCGCTGTCTTCAAAACTCCTTGCATGGTATAAGGTTCAATTCAGATGAGGCTGTAAATCAGCACCTTGTTCAGTTTTCTGCAAATAAACACAGGTCCTTCTATAAACGAGGAATTATGAAGCTCACTGAAAGATGGCAAAAGGTTATCGAACAAAATGGGCAATATATCATTGATTGATCTTTGTTCTTTATATAAATAAATGACCTTTGAAAAACATAGATAAAATACATCATGACTTTTCCGACAACCCAATGCCCTAGGATGGTTCTGAGATGAAATATGATAAAATGTGAAAGGAGTTTGACATGGAACCCAGGAATGTGGCCATCTGTGACCATGTTGCCTTCCCCCCACACATCGTGTGCTCTGGTCCTCCCTGTCGCCATGATCACGCATCCACATCCCTTTGCACACAGAGCCCGTTCATTCCTCAGAGACTCCAGTGGCTGGGCGCCAGGTGCCAGAAAACAGAGCACCTTTCACATTGCTGCTGTCATTCTTCCTCACAGAACCTTTGAGGGAGGAATCATTTTTTTTCCTGTTTTAGCTGGGGACCTGAGGCTCAAATAAGGTACACAACTTTCTCAAAAGCCCACAGCTAGTGAGGCATAGAGCTAAGATTCACACACATCTCTGCAGCTAGAGTGCATTTCTCCACACCTGACCTCAGGCCTGTATTGAGTTTTCCATCTTCTAGCACAGTGAGGAGGGGGGCATTCTCTTTTGGGTAAACCAATATGATTTATTAAGCAGTCCATGCTTGCTACACCAGACTTACACTAAACAGACATCAGCCTTCTTTGGTAAGTAACAAGTGCTCAAACCCCTCCCTTCACTAAACTCTAAGATGCTTGAGTTTAGAGACCCATTTATTTCATTATAGTTATAGCTTCATAACTGTTCTCGGGACAATGGTAGATGTTTGCTCAATTCATGTAGGTTGACTATATAAACGAATGTTTCATAAGGTATGTCCATGTCCTGTAGTGAATGAAATCCAAGTCTGGTTGACAGGAGGAGAAAAGGAAACAGGGAGAGACATTCCCCTCAGGCCAAGCAGAGCACACACGCATGCACACACAGACAGACCTCAACACAAGCCCCTCAGCTACACACACTCCCTTCTCTCCTGGACACAGAGACATGTGCATATTTATCTGTGACTATTTAACTATTTTTCAGTATGTGAAGAAATACGGGAATGTTTTTAGCATGGAAGTTGGTAGCTTCTCTACAGTCATTATAACGGGATTGCCCTTAATCAAAGAAGCCCTTGTCTACCAGGACCAAAAGTTTGCAAACCGCCCTGTATCCCTTGTCCGAGAGCGTGTCTTTAAGAACAATGGTAAGTTTCTTGACCAATGTAAGGTGTGTATTTTCAATATCAGTAAGGTCTGTTAAAGGCACCTCTGTAACTATAATTTTCCAACACTCCCCAGAGACATGCCCATTATAAAATGTCTGCCATTAAAGAAAGTTCGATGCTCACATGTCCCTATTTAAGGTACCCTCTCACATGATTTGGCAGGTGAGATTTAATGTCAGGGATTTGGGAAAAGCTGCATCTCCTGCATGAACTCACTTTAGATGCTATGATTGACAAGTAACCCATCATTCAATGATAGCAGAGAAATAGGCAATACATTCGCTATATCTGATTGCTGTCCAAATCTCTTCCCCTAGGAAAACGGGTGAAGACCTCCTTCCTTCTGTTGCTTATTAATTCCTTCTTCCTGCCTATAGTTCCTTATGCTTTTTCATCAAAGTGTGTCCCACAGAACATGTCGAGCCTTCCTGTCTATGTTAGATGACCAGGTTTGCATAAATACTTTAAATTATTATTAAGTAAATTTAAATATTTAAAAATCTAAATAAAGAACTCAAGGGTATTACTCTACCAAGGCAACATTTCTATCAGGTATTTCCCAATTCCTCTTTGAAATATTGAAATATTTTATCTATTGACTCTTCATCCATTTACTCTAGTTATTATCTCCCATGGGAAGTACAGTGCTAGGCATCAGTGATAGAACAGTGAGTAGAACTGATAAAATCCATGTCCTTATGTAAGTCCAATTCTATTCAGAGAAACAGAAAATGTCAATTAAATGTAATAATTTAGAGGGCCGTCCGAGTGGCTCAGTTGGTTAAGAGCTCGCTCAAGAGTGCAAGATCTGAGCAACAGCGGTTGGATGCCTGGCCTGAGCTGAGCTGCCAACAGGTAGCAGGATGGCTCAGCTAAAAAACAAACAAACAAACAAAAAACTGTAGTAATTTAAAGCCTTGTCTTATGAAGATAAGTGTAGGATGCATTTACTTGGGGTATTCAATCTACTCCTGAGATTTAGGAAAGACTTACATAGGTAAATAACAACAAATTTAATAGAGTGAAAAAACAATAAGGAAGAGGGAGTAGAATATAAAAAGTTCCTGAGGTGTGAAGGAGAATGAACTTGAGGAATTGAAAAAGTGGCCAATGTGGAAAGCACAAAAGTAAAATGGAGATAGTTCAATGGAGATGAAGCTACTGAACTTGGCCAGGAATAGTTTGTACAAGGAAGTACTTGTTAAAGATGTTTGTTTTTATCCTAACAACAGTGAAGCTCTGGAATAGTTTTCAGCGAAGAACGGAATCATTGTGTTTACACTGCACACTTTAAAAATATTTGGGCTGCAATGTAGATAAAGGAATAACGGAAACACGGGGCTATTGTAGATTTTTAATTTGAGGAGGCTGCAGCTTGGATGAGGGAGGTGGAAAGAAATGACACTATAGTAGGTTAAACTAGGACAGTAGCAGTGAAGATACACAGAGTGAAGATATTCAGGAGGCAAATCCAGTAAGACATGATGGCCTAGTTGGAGGGAGAGTGGAGGGAGAAGGATGTGTTGAGATGGGCATCCAAATGAGTAAATGATGGAAAGAAGGAACATTTGGAGGAGGACAAGGTGTTTAGTTTGGCTTTGGGGTGAGTTATATGAAGAAAAGCATAAATTCATCATGGATATGCTGAGCTTGAAAGGCCTTTACATTGGCAAAGTCAAGTAGACAGTTGTATGTATGTGTCTGGAGTTCAGAGACAGAAATAGTTGATCACTATTAATAGATGCTATTTAAAATTTTAAGAGTTGATGAGATTTCTCAGAAAAGGAGTATAGGGTGAGAAGAGAAGACCTTATCTTTAAGAGCTCCATCATTTCAGAATTTGATAGAATATGAAATAGCAAAAGATAGGGGAAGTTCTCTACTGTCAAAAAATTAGGAAGAAAACCTGGAGAGTGTGGTGTCCTGAGCATCACTGGAAGTGACTATTTCAAGAAAGAAGTATCTCAAGCCGCTGAAAGACCAAGTAAGGTGAGGTTGCAAAGTATCCCTAGATTTGACAGCAAGAGTCTCATTTCACTGAGATGGCGGAGGCCAAAGCCAGAAATTAAAAGAAGTTGACGAGTCTCTCGAAGTAAAAAACAGAAAAGGAGTGTGGCCTTACCCATGTTATAAAAAAAAATGATGGTCTGCTGAACACATCAAGATCCCCCCTCTAGCCCCCCACTCCCCACTTTGGCTACTTGAAATACTCATTCCTCCTTGCGTTTTCAGTCATTTATTCACTTATTCAGGCCCAGCTTAGCTAGAACCTCTCCTATAAAATTCATAAATGGCTTGTCTCTTTACAGTTACGGATTTTGTCTTACTTATGAGTGTATTGTTAGTACGTAGCATAACAGAGATATGTAAATATACCTATGTGACTAGTAATCAAAGTTTGGGCTTTGGAGTCAGGCAGACAAAAATTGAATACATGTGCAGCTTCTTACTAATTCTGTGACCTTGTAAAGTTTACTTTATCCCTTATGCCTCAGTTTTCTCATCAGTAAAATGGGAAAGTGGGTTAATAATTGTATATACCTCATAGAATTTCTGTGCATACGAAATTATATAGTAATGGATAAAAAATACAAAAGTGCCTGGCATTGCAAATAGTCAGTGCATGCCAGCAATTTTATCCATTGCTTTGGGGTTATTTCTCTGAATAGTTTTAAATGTCTTATCCATCCCTCCATCTGTTACACATCTCCATACCATTTGATTGTTTGCTTTTTATAATATTGGCATCTTTTTCACAGGATTGATCATGTCAAATGGCCAAGTATGGAAGGAACAAAGAAGGTTCACCCTGACAACACTAAGGAACTTTGGTTTAGGAAAGAGGACCTTAGAGGAACGCATACAGGAGGAGGCCCACCACCTCAACCAGACAATAGAAGAGGAGAATGGTGAGTGTTTCCTAGGACAGGTGCAGAAGGCTGTGGCCCATTCACTCACTCAACAGGTACTTATGATGTACATAAGTGCCTGTCCTGTGCCCAGCACTGTGTTAGGCACTGAGAATATAACTATGAACAATAATCATGACTCTGCCATGATGGAGTTCTAGAATTAAGTACAAGAAGATGGGGGTTAAAGATAGAACTAATTTTATTTTCAGTCAAGATGGCAAAGGTGAACACCATGCTCACCTCCTCTCAGGTCCTCATCAATTACAAGTAAACCACAGAACAACCATTATTGAGAATCACCTGAAGACTGGCTGAACCAAAGTCCTACAACTACGGACATACAGAAGAAGCCACATTAAGACTGGTAGGAGGGGTAGAGACACAAAACAGCCTGGTCCCATACCCTCGTGTCACCATTAAAAACGGGGATGGATAACTTGGCTGTGGAGGTCCCTTATGAGGAGTGAGTTGTCACAGTCCCTCGCCATTCCCAGGTTATAGTGCCAGGGAGAGAAGTTCTCAGAACTTCTGGCTGTGAAAACCAGCTGAGACTAGGATGAGTGAGACAGAGTGGGGCTGCACTCCTGGCACTCCTCTTAGAGGGAGCACACAAAGCCATACTTACTCGCTGATGAATTCACTCCCTTTGAGCTTCAGTACTGGGGCAGCAGATGGAAGGCAAAACACACCAGGGACATATGGGGAGAAACTAAATCGTCTAGCTTCAGGTGAGTGCTGGAGGGGTGGCTTTCTCCGGGAGGAAGGAACTGGCAGAAGCCATTGTTTCCTTGTTGAGCCCTCCCCCCTCCTGTATGTTGGGGAACGCAGACACATTCAGATGCAGGCGTACACCATCTCTGAGTCTCCATCAAACTGACTATCACCTTTGCTGTTCCACCATAGTGATTCCCTGAGACCACATCCCACCCACAGTTCGGGTACACTCTAGCCGTTTCCAGTGGCTTTAACAATTAAATGGGCTGCCTTGGCTCATGCTGTAGACATTCCTAACATCTCTCAAAGGTTCTAAAAAAACAAACAAGCAGCATCTGGTTTCGCATGTCCCTTACCTTTGGCTGTGCAGCCCTAAGCCCAGTACTAGTGGCAGCCTGTCTTCATTCATGAATTGGCCTCTCAAGGCACCTCCAAGCACAGTGCAGGTGGTGCTCATTTGGGGATTGCTTCGAGGCTCATGTCAGTTAGCTCTGGGCAGGACACAGACTGCAGCTGAACTTGGCCTGCAGTGCATCTCCTTCAGGAGGCCATGGGGCTGTAGGGCCAGTGGCCAGCTTCAGACTGGGCCAGAGCATCACCTAGCTGCCTCAAAGGATGACATACCCAAAAAGCATACTGGGCAGGCACCTAAGCACTGCTAAACTGAACCCTGTTGTTTAGAGTCCACCCCTGCATCAGAGCTCCTTCACTATAGCCACAGCCAGTCCTTACAACCAATCATCCTGTGTGTCAATCCCTCCCATTAATGTACAAACAGCAATCAAGTCTCTACAACAGGAGGGCATACACAACCCACCCAAGGGACACACCTGGAGCACCCTGCTCTGGTCATGAGGCAGACTGCACCACTGCATCCCACAGGACACCTACTACATAAAGCCACTCTTCTAAGACTGGGAGGCATAGCAGCCCTACATAAGAACAAACACAGGCAGGCCCCCAAGATGGGGAGACAAATAAACATTTCTCAAGCAAAAGAACAGAACAAAACTCTAGAAAAAGAACTAAACAGAATGGAGACAAGCAATCTATCAGATGCAAAGTTCCAAACACTGGTTAGAAGCATGCTCAATGACCTCAGGGGGAACTTCAACAAAGACATAGGAATCATAAAAATGGACATAGAATACAGCAAAAGAACCACTAAGAAATAAAGACTACAATAACTGAAGAATACATTGGAGGGACTCAACAGTAGATTACATGAAGCAGAGAATTGAATCAGTGATTTAAAAGGTAAGGTAGCAGAACACGCCCAGTCAGAACATCAAAAAAAAAAAAAGAATCCAAAAAAATATCAGAGTTTATGAGGCCTTTGGGGCAACATCAAGTGTATCAATATTCACATCATAGAGGTACCAGAAGGAGAAGAGAGAGAGCAAGAAATTGAGAAGACAATTGAAGAAATAATGATTGAAAGCTTCCCTAACCCGAAGAAATAGACATACAAGCCCAGGAAATGCAGAGAGTCCCAAAGAAGACGAACACAAACAGGCCCACACAAACACACCTCATTATTAGAATATCCAAGTTTATAGACAAAGACAGAACCTTAAAAGCAGCAAGAGAAAAGCAGTTAGTTACCTACAAAAGAACTCCCATAAGACTGTCAGCTGATTTCTCAACAGAAACTTTGCAGGCCAGAAGGGATTGATGGGAAATAATCAAAGTAATGAAAAGGAAGGACATACAACAAATATTTCTCTACCCAGCAAAGCTATAATTTAAATCAAAGGATAGGTAAAGAACTTCCCAGAGAAGAAAAAGCTACAAGCGTTCCCCACCACCAAGTCAGTATCACAAGGATGTTAGAGGGACTTCTTTCAGACAAAAAAATAAAGAAAGAAAAACGACAAGAAGAAGATCAATAATAAAATGGCAATAATGACATATCTATCAATAATTACTTTAAATGTAACTGGATTAAATGCTCCAATCAAAAGATAGGGTGGCTGTATAGATAAGAAAAGAAGACCCTTATCTATGCTGCCTACAAGAGACTCACTTCAGATCAAAAGACACACAGAGACTAAAAGTAAAGGGATGGGAAAAGACATTTCATGAAAATGAAAATAACAACAGCACAAAAGCTGTGGTAGCAATACTTATACCAGACAAAATAGACTTTAAAACAAAGGCCATAATAAGTGACAAAGAAGGATCAAGTAATCCCACTTCTGGGTAATTATCCAAAGGGAACGTAAATGCTACTTCCATGGGATGTGTGCCTCTATATGTTCATTGCGCATTATTTCCAATGGCCAAGAGGAGAAGGCAACCTGGGTGTCTGTCAATGGAAGAAATGATAGAGAGGAGGTGGTACATATATACAGTGGAATATTGCTCGGCTATAGAAGGGAATGGGTTCCCATCATCTGCTGCAGCACAAATGAACCTGGAAGGAGTTGTGCTGAGTGGAGTATGTCAGACAGCAAAAGCTCATGCAATGTGATTTCACTTGTAAGTGGAATCTAAAGAAGAAAATAAACAAAACCAGAAACAAACTCATAGATACAGTGTACATTTTGATGGCTGCCAGATGGGAGGGAGTTGGGGAATTAGTGGAAACGGGAAGGGATTAAGAAGTTCAAATTGGTGTTACAAGGTAGTCATGGGTATGAGGGTATAAATAAGGAATACAGTCAATAACATTTTAATAATTATGTATGGTGTCAGATGGGTAATAGATTGATTGGGGTGATAGATGGGAGGGGTTTGGAGGATGGTGAAAAAGGTGAAGACATTAAGAAGTATAAATTGGTAATTACCAAATAGTTATGGGGATGTAAAGTAACGCATAGGGAGTATAGTCAATAATATGGTAATAACTATATATAGTGCCAGGGCAGTATGAGACTAATCAAGGAGATCACTTCTTATATAATTGTCTAACCACTATGCTGTACACCTGAAATTATTATAAAATTACATTGAATGTCAACTGTAATTGAAAATTACAAAAGGGGGGAAAGCTAAACTGGAATAAGAGTTCAAATCTCCAGGTTAAAAAAAAATAAGTCATGGAAATACAATACTCAGTATGGGAACCATGGCTAATAGTATTGTGATACATGGCATGGTGTCAGATGGTTGTTGGACTTATGGCGATCACTTCTTTTTAGGAATACAAATGTTGAATAACTATTGTGTATATCTGAAACTAATATAATACTGTATCCTAGCTATATATATTTGTAAATCTTTTTTAAAAACACATTACTGATTTTAAACCCTGGTCATCAGTTTGACTTCCCGGCATTGCCTGAGCACATGCTACATGTCAGACCCCATGCAGGATGCTGTGGCCAGAGCCTCACATGTGTTTCCCTACTCGGTATGTCACATGTCATATAGAATCTCAGTAGAAAACAGAAACAAACCAATCTGAAGGATCTGTCTTTTCTTCCACCTGCAGGACAGCCTTTTAACCCTCATTTCAAGATCAACAGTGCAGTTTCCAATATTATTTGCTCCATCACCTTTGGGGAACGCTTTGAGTACCAGGATCATCAGTTCCAAGAAATGCTGAAGTTGCTGGATGAGGTCATAACTCTGGAGGTGTCAGTCTTCTGCCATGTAAGGGGTTCTCTTTTTATATCTTGGTTAAGGACTTTGGGGCTAATGTCGGACACAGATGGGTTTATTTAAGCTAAAATATAACCTTTTAAAATTGACTTCAACACAAACTTATCAGAAATCAATCTGTGACTCTAGCGTCCTTGATGATATTGTTAAATTGTTACGGTATGCCATGCACTTATGAACCTATGTTGTTTTATTTAAAAAGTGCAACAGTGTCATTGCCTTTGAGTCTCTCCTCTCCAGGTCACTCCCTAAACCAGCCATCTCCCGCCTCTCCCAGAGGTACCCCTTTGTGTCTGGCTTCTCCCTTGGTGCATTGCTCTCAGATTCTACTGTGTTAGTGGCTCTTTTTAAAATCCTGATTGTATTCCATTTTATGACTATGTCACTCTTTGTTACTCTAATCTCGACTGATGGACACCTGGATGGTTTCCAGGTCTCAGGAGTTAGAATAAAGTTGCTATGAACATTCTAGTACAACTGTTCCTGTGGATACATCCACTCATTTCTCTTACATATACGTATATACCAGGACATTAAAGATGCCTAAAGGTTCCAAAGTCGTTATAGTATTTACATGTCCATCAACAGGATATTATCAATCCCCTAATTTGGTAGGATAAAGATATTTAGGCTTCAAATCTCACCCCTCCCTTGGTGGGCCCTGTACTCTAATTTTGTCCTTCAACAACTGTGAGTCTGTCAAAAACTCTGTTTAGCTTCTTGGTCTCACAGCTGATTTTCTGAATTTGTAAGACACTTTTAGGGAAAAAACAGCCTCAAGTGTTGAGGTCACCACTCTGCATCCAGAGTGGCTTTTTTATTATTATTCCTGGATAACATCTTTGCCTGGAGGCTATGGATCCAACACACCAAAATACATAAAGAAGTTGCATGACCTGGTACATGAACAGAGCATAATGAACATGTGCTATTATTATGATTGTAAAGTATTTATGAATTCCTTGTTCTCATTTCTAGTCACGGTAGTCTCCAGTTCAGTGATTCCTTTTTTGTCCTTCCTACTAAGACAGAACCCAGGGAGTCATGAGAGTTCAGTGGTGCCCAGCTGACGTTCCCCAGGGAAAAGAAATTCCTGGAAGGGCAAGAAGGGGCAGTAGATTAAAAGTAATAAGTATTTCTTGGAGTCCCAAAATACACCAGTCATGTTGATAGAAAACTACACAAACTTTATCTCAGTGAATTTTCACAGCAATCCTTTCAGGGTGAGTTGAAGCAGCACAGTGTATGCAGGCAGATATGGGAGTGTATAAGCAAATCCAGAGGGTGCTCCGCTGGCTCTGTAACTGCTGAATGGATCTCATGCCATTTGGTCACCAGAATAACTCTGCGGTCCCGTTGCCAGCTAGGTAAACTACGGAGTAACAAGTTACAGCGTCACCATTATCATCATCATCATCATTACTACCAAAATATTACAGCTAGAAAGCAGCACAGCTAATGGCCAAGCCAACCTGATGCCTCAAGCGCAGGAGATTTTCCACTATGTCATGCTGTTTTCTACCAGATATGTTAGAGAAAATATATTTAACAACTCCTGAATTTCAGAAAAAATGTCTTACCCACATGGAGATTACAACTCAGTGGAGGCAGACAAACACACACACACATATATATTTAACATATATATATATATATATATATATATATATATATATATATATATATATATATATATTTAACAAATATATATACATATATAATATTTATATATATAATACAATAAGTCCCCAACTTATGAACATTCAAGTTATGAGCTTTCACAGACTCGAACGGACCTCACATTACGAACATTTGTAGATGCGAAGACATCGCGGAAGTAGCTCACGTGTCTGCCAGACATTGTAACAGTTCTGCTGCTGTGTGCTCACTGTACAGTGTGATACTGCACAGAAGTACAGCGTTCAATCAGATCCCAGGATGTCCGGAAGCAAGAGGAAAAGCAGTGGTGATGTGGAGGGGACTGCTAGGAAGTGCAAAGAAATAACCATGGAAACAAAAGTGAAAATAATTGAGAGATTGGACCGAGGCAAAAAGATGGTAGATGTCACTTGATCGTATAACATGACTCGTTCAACCATTGAATTTACATTGTATATTTGTGTCAAAGGTGTATAAGACTCACTTTTTCAGACTTACAAACGAATCCGACTTATGAACGCTCTCCCGGAACGGAACTCGTTCGTAAGTCAGGAAATTACTGTATTTATATATATAATATTTATATAATCTATAAATTATATAAATTATATAAAATGTATATTATATACTTATATATATATATCTTACACATATATAACATACACTATGTCACACACACGTGCTAGTGATAATTGCTATAAAGAAAATAAAACAGAATAAAGGAATGGGCAGAAGGTGACAAGAGTGCTGCCACAGGGTAATCAGGTTTAGACCACTCCAGGTAGACATTTGAACAGTGCTTTAATTAAATGAGGGGCTGGAGTTATATAGATTTCAGAAGAAGAACATTCCAGGGGGAAGGAACACCAAATGCAAAGGCCTACACAGGACTCTCCTTCCTGTCATCTCAGAGGCAAATGGGGCTGGACTGCAGAAAGTAAGATGGCAGGGAGTGACAGCAAAGGGTACAACAGGTGTTTGCAGGGGCCAGCTCATGTAGAGCTTATATGCTCAGAGAATTATGCAGAAGTTTATCGGCGTGTCATGGAATGTTATTGAAGAATTAAGAACCAGAAAGTGAAATGATCTGATTAAACTGTTAAATGACCATTCTCCTAGTTCTATGGAAAATAGACGGGGAATGGGGCTAAGGATGGAATCAGAAAAACTGTTGGAGGCTGTTACAGCATCCAAGTAAGAAATGGTGGTTTGTACTATGATGACAAAGCAGTTGGGTTACTGAAAAGAGGTCTGAAACGGGGTATGTTTAGGATGGGGGGCTGAAATGCTTTGCTGGAGAGATGAGAAGAAGGTTGAGACTGATAAGAAAAGTGAAGATCTAAGTGTAAGCAAGAAAAGATAGCGAGAGAACACTGGGCTTGTCTTAAAAAGTGGAAAGGGACACCATGTTGTCTTCATGATTGTTTTGTTTTTCTCAATTAGCTCGATAATATCTTTCCATGGATAATGAAATTCATTCCTGGACCCCACCAAACAGCCTTAGTCAAATGGGAGAAACTAAAATTGTTTATTGCCCGTGTGATTGAAAACCACAGGAGAGATTGGAAACCTGACGAAACAAGGGACTTTATTGATGCATACCTCAACGAAACAGAAAAGGTGAGGAAACCAAAGTTGCTTCCCGTGTTTTGTTTTTACAGAACAAATGGGGTATGGGGTATACCAGTTCCTATTGATGCTGTGATAAATTAACTTAGTGGCTCACAACAACATACATTTATTCTCTTACAGTGCTGGAGGTCAGAGTCTGAAAGTAATTAGACTGGGCTAAAGTCAAAGGGCTGGCAGGGCTGGCTCCACGGAAAGCTCTAGAGGAGAATGTTTCCTTGACTTTTCAAGCTTCTAGAGCTTATATTGCTTGGCTCACGGCCCCCTCCTGCGTTATCAAAGCCAACAATGTAACATCTTCTCGGCTAATATCCTTCCATCTGCTCTTTACTACCTCCTTGCCTCTTGTGATTATATTGGGCCCACTCGGATTCTCCAGGATAATCTAACCATATCAAGATCCTTAACTTAATCATATCTATAAAGTCCCTTTTCCCATATGAGATAACACTCACAGGTTCCAGAAATTAGACATGGACATCTTTGTGGGTCATTATTCAGCCTCCCACTGGGAGTAAATATAGAGGCAGTATATCAAAGAGTATAAGAGTAGCATTAACTCAGGATGGATGAGGTAATTAGAAATAAAGGCAGGGTTTCCATGGTGTTGGCCTTGAGGCTTTGGAAATGCCCAAAGACTGCCTTTTCACCTTCTATTCTCTGCCCTCTACCCATATCTGAAGGAGCTATATGAAAGAGGAAAAATAAGAACTGAGCCTCAAAGCGCTGTTTCATTATTAGTGGAACCTGTGCCAGTGTCCTACCCCTTCCCTCAGGCCCCGGCGCAGAAGACAAAGAAAGCTGAGTCAGAGGCAAGCGTTAATCCTCAGTACCTAAGTGGGAACCCGTATCATCCACTTCCCAACATTACAGGAAAGAAACAGCAGAAAAAGTCAAATTGGCTGTGTAGCTTTGAACACAGTAACCCTTCAGATTAATATACATCATTGCGTGTTTGACTCATCACATTATCTGTTCCTACTGTGGAAGTTGGCAGAATGGTGGATTTCTTTCCCTTCTTCTGCCCTATTTCAGCATATTGGCATAATATTAATAGAAGCATTGATTTCTGTTCAGAGGAACGACTTCACTTGCTATGTGGTGTGCAGATACGGGACCACACATGAAGGGCATGTTGACAAATTGAACGTTTCAGAGGAAGGTGTTAAAAGGGATGAAATGCCATGAGGATTGATAGGTGAATCACAGAAGTTCCACTTAAAGGAAAACATGAACTGAGAGATGTATAAGTTACTGTACATAAGAAGAATTCAGTTTATTCTTTCTAGTATCAGTGTAAATATTTGATGGGTATTTGCTGTGTGCCCTTTGAATCTCACTAGATTCCTAATGTTATCTTCAGGGGTGTGTTTTGTTATTTCTATTTATAAAACAGGAAACTAAAGCACAGAGAAGTTAAGTCACTTGCCCTGGGTCATAGAGATAATGAATTGTGTGACTAATATTGGAAACCAAGCTTGTGTCTCCACTGTACTAACAGCTTCTCTTTCCACTGTACAAATAGCTTCTTCCAAATTAGAGACAAAATGTAGTTGTCTTGATTTTCATCTACCCAAACTCATGAAAGCTTCCAGCAGTTAGGCAGGATGATGCTAATGATGATATTGCTGTAATAAGATTCCGCCTCCTGGGGAGACCGAGTGAAAGCCATTTCTCCTGGGGATCTTCCCTTCCACAGTCTCTCCCTTGGATGAAGCCTCTGTGTGCTGTGGCAACTGAGAACCCTGTGAATAAACTAATAAACATGGTGTTTTCTAGCATGCAGACAACCCAACTTCAAGTTTCAATGATGAAAACCTCATTGTCAGTACCCTGGACCTGTTCTTTGCTGGAACGGAGACAACTTCAACGACGCTGCGCTGGGGTCTGCTTTACATGGCCCTCTACCCAGAAATCCAAGGTGAGCATGTCAGTGAGTATGCCTGGGCCAAGACAGAATGGTGCCTCCTGAACACAATGCCCCAAAGTTGGGGCAGAAGCTAGCATGGTGGAATGGAAAGCTAGGTAGGAGGCAAAGTGGACTTGAGAATGGGCACCTCCTTCAGTTTTTCTGTCAGGGTTGTGATGGATCCACATAATACAAATATAGCAGAGACCCTGCCATCAGGAGTCTCAGAGTCTAGTGGGGAAAACTGTGAAGCTAATTGACATTGGGGTGAGTTCCAGGAAAGAGTTACATTCTCACATGAAATCTGGTCCTCGAGGAAGTAGTCATCATACCATACAAAAAAATGAAGGAAGGAAGGAAGGAAGGAAGGAAGGAAGGAAGGAAGGAAGGAAGGAAGGGAGGAAGGGAGGGAGAGAAGGAGGGAGGAAGAAAGAAAGAGAGAAAGAAAAAGAAATCTAGTCCTAGCCTTCTCTCCTTTTAAGTCATGTCTTCCATTTCCATGCGGATGAAGTTCAAACTCCTTAGTCAGGTATATCACACCCTTGGATGTGCGTCTTTGCCTGTGTAGCCCCAGCTTTGCCTACCCTACATGGTGCTTTACTAAATGACATGTCTTTTTCTTTGCACAGTCATTATTCATGCCTCCGTGTCATCACACATGTTCTTCCCTCTACAAGAATGTATTCCCCTAATTCTCTACATGGTAAACTACTACCTAGCCCTATTTGAAGAATCTACTAAATACTTCCCCTCATAAGATATTTCATTACTCATCTAAGAATTCACTAGCATTTTCCTCCTCTAGAGATGGTCTAAAGCACCTCCATTACTTTGCGTATCTCACATTAGTTATGTATCTTCTCCTCAGATTGTCTATCTTCCCCATTCAATGACAGTGAGTGTTATAATCATTTTTCTTTCTCCAGGTCCCAGAGCAGTTTGAGTACATGAGGGATCAGAGCTGTTATGATACATTTTTCAAAAATGTTGGTAGCAGTTTATTAGCAGGACATAAAATCAATTTACTGTATCAAGACCAACTTTTGCTCCTAAAATAAAATTAGAACAGAAAATATCAGAAAGTTTCCCATGACTTAAGAATAAGTTTCTTCATATAAACTTTACATATATATATATATATATATACATATATATATATATATATTTACATATATATATATGTAAAGTATATATATATATATATTAAAAATATATTTATTTCCAGAGTCATGGTGTAAACTGCCTTTTTAACTGTGAATTACATTTTTTGAAAAGTTTAAAAGCTGCCTAGTTAGGATATAGACTGGGCTTCCACAGTCAAGGCTCGAAATAATAATGGCTTAAGATGATAAAAGTTTACACCCATGTTCATAGCAGCATTATTCACAAGAGCCAGGGGGTGGAAGTAACCAAGTGGTCATCAATGGATTAATGGATAAACAAAATGTGGGGTGTATTGGAATCTCATTCAGCATTTAAAAGGAAGTAAATTCTGACACAATCTATAACATGGATGAACCTTTAGGACATTATGTTAAGTTAAATAATCCAATAACAAAAACATGAATACTATAATTCCACTTAGATAAATTATCAGGAGTACTCACATACATAGAAACAGAAAGTAGAATTGTAGTGGTAGTTGGCAGAGGTTGGGGAAATGGAAAGTTATTGTTTAGTGAATGTAGAGTGTCAGTTTTGCATCATAAAAAAAGTTCTGAAGGTTGGTGCATAATAATTAGAATATAATTAACACTATTAAACAATACACTTAAAAAGGGTTAAGATGATATACTTTACGTTATGGATATTTTACCACTATTAAATTTTTTTAAGTGGACAGTAAAAGTAAAAAGATAGAAGGTTTATATCTCTCTCAGGTAAAAACTTTAAGCTGTACTCTGCAGAGCCATTTGGGTTCCAAACTCTTTCCAGTGTGTTTTTCTGTTGTATCTAAAATGTTGCCACTATCAAAGATGGCTCCACACTGCAGCTGCTTATCCACCAATAGGAAGGGCAGAACAAGAAGGAAGCATATACGGTTTTTAAAGAGCATGTTCCAACTATTAAATATTCCTCCTACCTACATTCTGTTAGTCAGAACTCAGTCACATGGTCACATTTAGTCACAGAGAATCTGGGATATATTCTTTGGCTGAGCAACCAGGTATCCAGCTAAAATCTTTATTATTGTAGGGAAAAAAAACCAAAAAACCCAAACAAACAAAAAACATCAACAACAACAACAAAAACAGATATTGGGGGATAGTTAGCAGTTTCTGTTATTTGTTGGATGCTCACCTAAATCCTTTCATATAAATCTCAAAATATCTTTAAGATGAAGGTAGATTTAGCCTCACATAATAAGAAGAGGAAACTGAGAATCGAATATTTTAAGTACTGTGCAGCAGTAATTTGTTAGAACTAATGTTTGCAAGCAGAATTGTCTTACACCAGGGCCTGCTTTCTACTCTTTTTTTTTAATACTTCCTTGAGAAACCAGAGTCTATAGTGTATACTATAATTTCAGTAGGCTAAATTTTGAAATTTATAATTCTGATTTTGGTTATTCCATTCCTTAGCTTAACCAGGCTCAAGGAAAATTGTGGCATAATCAAATAACAGAATTTTCTCTTCTTTTCCAGAAAAAGTACAAGCTGAGATCGACACAGTGATTGGCCCTTCACAGCCGCCGAGCATGGCTGCTCGAGAGTCCATGCCCTACACCAATGCCGTCATCCATGAGGTGCAGAGAATGGGAAATATCATCCCCCTGAATGTGCCCAGGGAAGTGGCAGCTGATACCACCCTGGCTGGATACCACCTGCCCAAGGTAATGGGACTCCAGCTGCAGATCTTCGAGAGCATTTTTTAAATGGTCGGATCCTAAACTTGAAAAGTGACATTGTATTCTTGTCCCAGGGAATCACTTAAATAGGAAGAGAGGTATTATATATTATACGTGATTTAATACTAGTTTTTTCCCCCTTGTGTGTCCTCTAGAATATTAATTCAATTAGATATTGATAGTATGAAGAGAAAGGGGTTTATGAGGTCAAATATATCTAGGCGAAGATTGGCTTTTCATTGATGTAGGATTTCTCACTGTTTTTGCTATGTAATGTGTATTGTGAATCTTTGAGGAGATACAGCAGGCAGCAGTTCTTAGTCAGACTTTGTCACTGAATCTTTTTAGAGCATCTTACAGGACTAGGGACTTGACAGATTTACTTTGGAAAATTCTGCCTCACAATCCTGGGATTCTTGTGAAAAGTATGGAGGAAAGCCATTCCAGACATGTAAACACCATTTAAAAAGGCATGGGAATGAGTGGGAACATAGCATATTTGAGAAACTGAAAGAAGGCCAAGGTAATAGGAGAGAGAGTGCAGGCAGACTGTGGCCAAACAGGGGTCAGGCAATGGATCTGTCATCTTAGAGTGATGGCAAGGTATAGAAGGGTATCTTGAAACAAGTTCAAGGTGTGGTTTGATGGGTAGATAGATGTGACATGATTAAATGATGTTCTAAGATCACTCTGCTTTCAGGGTGTGGAGCAGATTGAAAGGGGAAACAGGATATGAGGCATAGTTAGTCTGCTATTACATGGGTATAAACAAGCAAGGTGGGTAGCCTGGACTAAGATGGCAACAGTGAACATAGAATGGAGGTGACAGAATCAAAAGAAATTTAAAGTAAAATTGGCCAGCCTCGCTGAAGGACCAGGTGAAGGATCAGGGGAAGGCACAATGAGGGGAAGGCAGGAGTTAAGGAGGACTCGGGTTTCTTTCTGTATACCTTCAGGGATAACGGTTCCTTCTACGGGGCAACCTGATTGTACTATTAAACCTCTTGTGCAGTGTTGCAGACATTGGAGGGAAGAGAATGTGAAAAACAGGAGAATGAGACACCCTTTACCTTGGTAGAGCTGCCATAGTTATCACTTCACTAAGCAACGGTGTTGATTTTGGTACAGTACTGACTGGCAAGCTGTGATGTTCTTCTCCCATTGATGCATACATGTTCCCTCCCAAGTCCTACACCAACTTGTTCCTGTAGATAAGATCCATACTGCAGTCTACAGGAAACACACTTCACTAGTGAAATTCCCAGCAAGCAGGTCCAGTCTGTTTTCCAAGTTATCCCCTGGCAAAGTGCAGAGTCCTTGGTGGGGTGGGTGGCTCAGAAGGTATAGGGTGGGGGTAGGCGGGAGGATGTGTCCATGGCCTGGCTTGGAGCATGCTACTGCCACCACTTTGCAGAGGTGTGTTGTGTGGGTCAAGCCTTGCCTGAGTCTTTTCTGCCTTCTCTAGGGGACCATAATCGTGACGAATCTGACTGCACTGCACAGGGACCCCACAGAGTGGGCCACCCCCGACACATTCAATCCGGAGCATTTTCTGGAGAATGGGCAGTTTAAGAAAAGGGAAGCCTTTCTGCCTTTCTCAATAGGTAAGTTGTAAAGATGAGTGTGTGAGCCCAGAGTTCCTCTCTCAGCCCCACCCTGCTCTCCTCCCTGCAGTCTTTGGTCTTAGTTGCACCAGCTCCAGATAGCCCTGCCCACAGGACTCCCTGTGGCTGTGGTTGCACCATGGGACTCCCTGGTCAGCATTGCTTCAGGCTGTGCTGACTTCGAAGCTCTCACTGGCCTCTGATGGAGATTTTAGCTTCACTTTGTTCTGTCCCCAGACTCAGACCTCACCTCTTGCTCACAAAGAAGGATGGACACTGGTCGTCTTTATGGAATTTTTATATGTCCCCAGTTCTTCTTAAGAGCCACCCACTCACACAGAACTAGAGACAAAGCACAACAAGACAATGGGGGATCAAGGAAAGGGACTGCTTGCTTATCATTATGGGACCAGGAAGCACTCTGATTACCACGGCTTGACTAGATGGGCTTCTACAGTGTAAACACTCGCGAAGGGGTCCTCTTGCCTTTTCCAATTATATTATGATTTTAAAATCTAGTTAGTACCTTTATATGGGATACAACTTGAAAGGGGCAAAAGAGAATGCTGTGAAAACTCTCATGTTTCCAGGCCAGTCAGTTCCAAAATGGTGTTTAACTCATAACATTGTAAAATGAACAACAAAAATTCTTAGTATATTTCTTAGTATTGAGTAAGGTACGTTTCATAGATTATTGCAAGTAATTTCCCAATTCCTTAGTTCTATAAATATTTTATGAGCATTTGTTACATGCCTAGCATTTAGCCCTGAGAATATATGAATGAATGAAGTAGGAAAAAAAGGAAACTCTTCCCATGCAGAGGTTCCAGTGTAACCTCACAAGGTTTAAATTGCTATGGCCACATAGAGATAATGAAACTGAGGCTTAGATGGCTTAACTATGGCATTTGTACATCTTTTATTGTCTTTTTTTTTGTACTATACTTTTTCACATTTCTTTCTCTTTTTGCATTGAATATGTATTATTTAGCAATAAAATAAGTGACTACACATGCAAGATAGATGGAGGTAGTGACCAATGTGGGATGTTGTAACCCAAGTGGGGAGAGAAAGGAATTCGCCAAGGGGAGGGGACGGCAGAAGCCTAGACTGGGTGTCAGAGCAGGATCAAGAGGAGGCGTGGTCTGCACAGGGTGCTTGTGGCAGTGATGGGACATAAGTTATATAAACGGGGTTCTGATTCAATAAGTAAACATATCGAGGACAATGGGAAAAATTTACAAATAGAGAAAGGGGGATAATAGAATGAAAACTGTGTTGTTGGTTTCGGATTGGGGATGATGAATATGAACTCTAGTTTTGATAGGTAGGGAGGTAGATAGATGTAGAAATAAATGTAGATGTAAATGTGGGTGTGTGTATACATATAACTATATACTCACATTAAATACACACATTGGTTCCCCAGCTCTACCCACTGAGATGCCCTGAGAACAACACCACCTTGACACCAATGAGCATGTCTAATGCCCAGACCATGGTTTCCACAATAGATATCATTATGCATGAGAAGGAACCAGGACTTCTGGGGAAAATGGCTGATTCCAGGCTGAGGAAGGGAAGCATAAGATGAGCCTAGACATTTTTTTCTGCCCAAAAGTAAGAAACTACCAGCTTGAATGGGCATTTACTCGCCAAATCTGGAATATCTTGAGAGTCAAGACAATTTAACAACACAACAAACAGATTTAAACTTTTTGAATAAAAATAGGAATGCATGTATTCATACTGATATAAACAAATAAGTGCATAAATAAAATGAGGAAGAGAGAAAGCATTTCATATCCTATAATGCTAACTAAGAAATGTGGAGGGAACGATGTAATTTTGAAACTCATGATTTGGCAGCCATTAGAGTAAAAAATAATTTGGCCAAATAATATTGGGTTGTCGGGCAAGTCATGACGCATTTTTGCATTGAAAAACATAGAAAACTATGTCATGACTTTCCCAACGACCCAATAGCAATGGATACTAGTTCAATGGGGAATGGTTTATTAACATAGTCTCAAGTAGTATTTATAGATGCAAAGAAAAAATAATTTTACAGGGGACAATTTGTAGACACCACTGTAATGAAGTGATCAAAGTTAGCATCACCAATAATGGAACCAATCAAAATTGTGTACCACCTGATAGGGTGAAAAGAGAGGAACACAGCCTCGTTTTGGTAATATTCCCACCAGAAATGCATGACCTCATGACCTGAATCTAATCATGAGGAAACATGAGAGACATTTACCAAATAATTGGTCTGTCACTTTCAAAAATGCCAGTCAAAGCTGAGGATTCCATTGCATGACAGCCTAATGTAATTGGCCATACTAAACAGGATCATTTACAATAAAGGACATTATTGGGACAACTGGCAAAACCCGCATGGGATTTGAGAAGATGGTGGTGATTTTCTGATTTGATGGTTATATTATGGTTATGTTGGAGAATGTCCTCATTTGAGGGAATTCATACTGAGTATTTTAGGGGTGCTCAATACAATTTAGACTAAATAACCAAGAAAAATCAGTTTCCATATTATTCTTCCAACTTTCCTGTACATTTGAAATTATTTTTGAATAAAAGGCATGATACAGAAAGGATCTCAGTAAAGGAGTGTTATATTTTAGTAATGTTACCACCCAAAAAGCTTTATTTAAAGGTAGTCTTTTAAATTGTATTTTTCATTTTTTTCTTTACAATTAACCAGATGAAGTTACGGATAAACTATTTTATAGCTAAAATTTTTATGATTATCCAGATGTGTTAAAATACTTTGTTTTGCTGTATGCATTATTATTTGTATTTAGTGTGTAGCTCACACAATACATAAAATAAAGTTCCCATCTTAAACGCACAGATTTACACTATTCTCTAGAGAGGTTACTTAATTTGCCCCGAATCCCATGGCTATGAAGTAGAGGAGTTGAGTTGTATTCCTGTCCTTCTGCCTCCAGCTCTGGACTCAGACAAGGAGTGGGATGTGTCCAGGGCAGGGCCAAGCACGAGCATCCGCCTGAAGGATCCAGCCTGGGGCCCACACCTTAGAAGCAAAGGCCCTGATGGGGAAGGACCGACATGTACAAGGACTGTTCAAGGAGGGAGGCTGGAGCAGCTGCAGTGTAGAATGGCACCCATGTCAGTGAGGTTCCCAATCATTAAGGAGGAAAACGTGATATAGGGGGAAAATGCCTTGTCCTTCAGAAGCCCTGGTCTGACATTTACTGGTTTAATTTTTGGACAGAATTTTTTTTTAATTGAAAAAAACTGAACACAGAGTTTTGTTTTCTGCTTTTGTCATTGTTGTTTGCTAATTGATTTCTGAAAGACTCTGTAGGCTAGACTTCCTTTCTAGGTCAGCCCAAGCTTCCCACTTCTATTATCTACGTGCTATACCTTCACCCTCTGCCTCACCTGCCAGATCATGAAAACACTGGAGTTTATGAGTCCAGACTTATGTTTTCTGTGCTTTGCTAAAGCCAGGTGGTTGTCAGATTGAAAGCCCCACAGCATAGCAGGCCCTTCCTCTGTTGAGATTTTGCGAGAAGTGGTAGAAGATTTCAATGGCTGCTGGGCATCGGCTCCAGCTGGGAAGATAACTGGTCTTATGTTCTTATGTTTCAGGAAAGCGGGCATGCCTTGGAGAACAGTTGGCCAAGACTGAGCTGTTTATTTTCTTCACTTCCCTTTTGCAAAAATTTACATTTAAGCCCCCACATAATGAGAAGCTGACTCTGAAACCCAGAATAGGCATCACCATCTCCCCAGCCAACCACCGCATCTGTGCTGTTCCTCGGACATGAAGGAGAAGAGAGGGAAAAGGAAAGCAAGAGGGGTCAGCATGTCCTCCACTCTGAAGGCATGGCGCCTGCTCAGAAGTGAGGGAACGGGATAAAAGTGGCCCTGAGGAAAGATTGTAGAGTTGGACTCAGAGAAAACTGGATCTAAATCCACTTTGTTACCTCCTCCAGTGTAGCCTTGAGCAAATCATGTGTCGTGATTTACCTTTTCATCTAGAAGATGAAAATAAGATAATGATTCCTTCTCTAAAGGAAGACTTGCTGTAAGAATGACAGAAAATAATGGACTTTGCATGATTTGAAAACCATGAATCACATCATAAAAGTTATCGCTGTAATCTGCTTCCTAATTGCCTCCTTCCTCCGATATAAAGTTACCTCTAGCCTGTTGAAATGGCTCAGGTCAAAGTTATGCCAAAGGGCTGATAAGAGTTGGAAGTGGACTCTGGTAGGGCCGCCACAGAGGTTCCCACACTTGGTAGCACTCTGCAAACTTTATCTTGCTTCTACCTCAGAATGGCCCTCCAGGAGTCAACATGGCAGATTATTCCTTATTTACAGGCAGGTTTTAAGGAAGAAGCAGTTTCTATGGTTTACCTGAGAAAATCCAACCTTGGTCTTGGACCGAGGGCCACGTAGGGTATGGCCAGAAGATTGTCAGCTTTTGCATGGCAAGCATTACCAGCCTACACTCAGCTGGGCCCTGGTAGTGTATTTTACAGCAGGGAACCAGAAATGCCAGCATCCTGCTCATTTCACAGCAGCCCATTATTCTCATGGGATAAGAAAATGAAATGAACTTTGCCCTATACTTACACACAGGCGGTAGAGCCTGTGTGGACTCTGCTTCCATCTCATTCAGAATTAAAGCTCAGAAACCCAGCCTCCCTCACAGATACATGCTCCAAGATGGCACACACAAAGGCAGGTCTCCTCTGCAGGAGACAGATAACAAGGCAGGTGCAGGCAAGCAGAGGCCACTGCAGCCTGGGAAGGAAACGCCAGCCCACAGAACACGCTGGTATCAGAATCCCAGTCTCTGTGGCTCCATTAGCCCATGTTACCGCAGCTAAGGGTTCTTTTCTCCTTTAAAGAATAGGTCAGAGTTTCAAAGCTCATCTTCTTCTAGCCTGCAGGCTCATGTTTCCCCAAGCTCTGGTAAACACTGACTCATTGGAAAGGAACAGCCCTTTCAAAGAGGAACTTGGGTGTATATGTGGGTAAAGCCCCTTTAAAAAGAGGTTTGCATAAGCCCCTTGTGATTACAGGGCCTGGAGGTTTGTTCCTGGCTTTGTGGCTCCTCAGCAAGAGCTCTCTTTAGTGGTAATCTCAGCTCCTTCTTGAAACTTGTGTCAGCTTTTCTATTTGGAGTTCTCAACCTCAACTGTGAAACTACATCTGTTCAAAGGCTACCTGGTTCCAACACAGGGGCAAAGGTCATCTTTCAACAGGAGAAAAAGGTGGGGGTGGGGAAGCTTGGAGGTACATTATAAATGCAAAAGGAATGGTTTGGGGAGTTGTTTTGCCTCAAGTAATAGATTCCTCTGATGTAAGTACCTTGTCCCTGAGAGAAAGCTGAATCCTAATTACTAGACCACCAGGGAACTTTACCTTGTCCCTTTCAACCATCTACCAACAAACGTATCTGAGCCATAAAGCCCATGTCCTTATGATGCATAAACAAACACCCAGCAAGTGAAACACTGAATCATAGGTGTTTGATTTGGTGATATGGGGGAAAATGTATAATATTTACCTGTTTCTTCCAAAGTGAATTCAGCCAAATTAGTTCTTCTGGATAGACACTCACACCTGTGGTCATTGTTGTCATTGCCCCTAACCTTTTTGGAAAGATATTTGTACTAAAGAATTGCAACTCTTATTTTAGGTTTGTTTTGGGGTTTTTTTGCTTCTGTGTATGGTTTTTTTGTTTTGTTTTGTCTTGTTTTGTTTTGTTTTTATCAGCTCCACCTACATATTTCCTGGTAAAATATATTCAATCCTCACCAGCAATCTTTAGCAGGTTTGTTCTGAATTTGTACTTAATATATAAGATATGTCATTAGGCAAAAGGCAGTATAATGAAACAGAAAGAATCTGGACTTTGGAGTCAAACAGGCCTCTGTTTGGTTCTCCGTTCTGCATTTACCAGCTGCATGATATAATTCAGTCTGTTTCCTCATCTGTAAACTGGGAATAGTAGGAATAAAAAAAAAAAAATTCTACATCATAGCATTGCCCTGATGATGCAATGAAATGAAAGAATAAATACTTCTGTGGTACCCAGGATGTAGCAAGTCTTTCGTACATGTCTCCATGAAAGGTTATAACTAAAGACTCTGCAGGAAAGCCTTTGGACAGAGGTGAAGATGAGCATGGAGAAGAGTGCTCTAATGACATGTTGAGGCATCATCATATGAAGACTGGGCTGAGCTTCCATGGCCACAAGGCTGAGAGTCAGGCTTATCAATATTATTTCTATCTGCCACCATCTTG